GGGCACCATCTAGTTCTTCTGGTCTCATAGTTGTATAGGTTGCAGATCGGATGGGGGTCACACATTTCTGCATTTGAGGCCCCTGGTGGCCAAAGCAAAGAGAAAAATAATCAATTACGTAACATAATAAGATAATATTCCATTACATAAAATAAAAAGGAACAAGTTGCTTAGAAAAAGTATAGGTGTCCCCAGCGCTGTCCAAATAAAGTTATGAATGTAATTAAGGGCAGCCGTGATAATAATTACTGCTGAGTAGAAACATCTTCTTGGTCTTTTTCCTCTCCCTTTTCTTAACAGACTGCTTAGGCACAGACTCGTGGTAGATTCAGCACTTGGACAGCTGCACGTTGTAACCGTTTATTGAGGTGTAGAAGGCACTTGACTGCTCACCAGATGGCTGGCGGTTCAAACCCATCAGCCACTCCTCGGAAGGAAGGTTGGGCAATCCTACTTCCGTAGTGATACTGCCTCGGAAACCCAAGGAGGGGTCGCTATGAGTCAGGGCTGACTCGACGGCACATAACAACAAAAACAACAACCCCCATCTTGGAGTTGATATTTAAAAATGGCTTTTTTTTTTTTTTTTTTCTGGCCACATGTGCTTGTTGACAACTTCTTGTGGGAGACAGTTCATCATTTCCAACACGAGCTTTTGCTTCATTTCTTTATTTTACTCTAAAGAAAGTATAACCTAATTTCTTGCAAAAATATCACTAAAAAGAAAAGACGCAACCCCAGAAGCAAGGTTCAATAATTTAAAATGGCAGCTTTGACTTCCTGTTTTCTGCTTTTTCTTTTTAGGGATAAAGAACATTTATCACAATTTCTCCCTTCCTTTCCCAACTTCCTTCTCTGCCCCTCTTTTTTCAGTTTTGGACAACCTCATAGCATTCCTAGTCAAAAGTAAGTGTAGAGGACAGGCCACCCCTGTTGAGTTTCAGGCACTAACAGATCCATCTCTGTATTTAGCTACAAGGAGAACATCGAGCGCCTCTCCAGACTTCACAAGGACCGCCCTGTGGAGCCTCTGGACCTGGCTGTGTTCTGGGTGGAGTTTGTGATGAGGCACAAGGGAGCACCACACCTGCGCCCTGCAGCCCATGACCTCACCTGGTACCAGTACCATTCTTTGGATGTCATCGGCTTCCTGCTGGCCATCATGCTGGGGGCCACCTTCATCACCTTTAAATGCTGTGTCTTTGGCTGCCAGAAGTGCTTTGGGAAAAAGGGGCGTGTTAAGAAAACCCACAAATCGAAGGCACATTGAGAAGCAGGTGGGAAACACAGTGACATTTCAATCAAATGCCTGGTGTTCAGTCAAATGCCTGGTGAATTCCAAATGTGCAGGCAGAGTTGACATTTAATTCATTTTAGTCTTATTAAGGAAGTACTCTACCATAAACCAGATATCCCAAAGTGCTTTTTTTTTTTTAATGAAAATAATTTAATCTCTAGTCACACCTATAGCTAAAGATACTTGAGTGTGTGTAGTACAGCCCACCCTCCAGTCTCTTTATTGAATCTGGACCTCACTGGTAATCTTTCTAATGATCTGATGAAAGGGTTGGACAGCTCCCTCCCTCATTTGCACTATCATTTTCTTACTGCAAACAATGTGGCCTGGACCTTTTGGAGCACAGGTTTTGGACATGGTCCCTGGACGGCCACCACTTCCAATGACAGTTTTGATGTCATTGTCTGTCTTCTGTAGAATGCTGTGATAGATCCTTTCACCAGTATTCAGACCCAGCCAAACCTGCTACCGTCCAGTAGACTCCAACTCATAGCAAACCTGTAGGACAGAGTAGAACTGCCCCCATAGGGTTTCCAGGGCTGTCGTCTTTACAGAAACAGACTGCCTCATCCTTCACCCATGGAGAAGCTGGTGGGCTGGAACCACCAACCTTTCAGTGAGCAGCAGAACGTCTAACCGCTGTGCCTCCAGGGCCCCTTTCACCAGCAATGGCCAATCCTAGTTCATGCACTTGCTGCTTTGGGGACACATTGTGTGTGGAAATGTTTGTTCTTGAAAGTGTAGTGCCTTGTATGTGAAATGAATGAATTACATAGTCCTTTGAAGGAGCTCTGGTGGCATAGTGCCTAAGGCATTTGACTGCTAACCAGAAGGCTGGCAGTTCAAACTCACCAGCCTCTCCTTGGAAGGAAGATTGGACAATCTACTTCCATAGTGATACCGCCTTGGAAACCCAAAGAGGGGTTGCTATGAGTCGGGTCTGACTCGACGGCAATGAGTTTGTTTTTTGAGTCCTTTGAGGACAGTGTACGATTTCTGACTTTGGGAAAAGGGATCGATGTGATAAACTTAATGGAGGATGTATTTGAGAGGATAATTGTTGCTAATGCCCAATGGATCTGAATTTGATTGTGTCTGCCAAGCGTATTTTCTGTCATGTTTCCCACAACTCAAAATATATTAATAAAATAATATAAATTATGTTTCTTAGGTGTTCTTTTCTTCATTGGTATTGCATGTATTTATTGTTAAATTACATTTTCGAATTACAAAGTAATGCATGATGCTGACAGAATTTTTTTTTAATGATACTCATTGTTTGGTGGAAGCTTACACAACATATTAGGTTCCGATTTAACAACTTGCTACACAAATTGCTCAGTGCCATTGGTTACAGTTTTCAACAGTCTGTCAACATTCTCGTTATTTCATCTGGTTGTTCTCTTTCCAGCACTGTAGTTCCACTGCCCCTTGTCTTCTTATCTCTGCTTTAGAGGAAATGTTGGCCCTTTAGTCTCATAGAGATGATTAGTTAAAGATGCACACTACTTATGGGCGACATTTTTAATTTTAGGAGTTAATCTGTTATTTAGCTGAAAGGTAACCTCAGGGAATGGTCTCAGTTCAAAATTTAAAGAGTGTCTCAGGGGAATACTCTCAGGAGGCCTCCAGTCTCAACTGGCCCAGTAAGGCTATATTTTTAAGCATTTGGGTTCTGTTCCACATTTTCCCCCCATCCTGTCAGGAACTATCTAGTGTCTGACAGAAAATTTGAAAAATGTAGATGTGCACACACACATGTATGTGTGCACATTTATACACACATGTATATTCTTACACAAGGAAATAAAAATAGCTCATAATACCATGCTCATAATCACATGCCCCCAAATGCCCACTGTTACTATTTAGGGAAACACACACACAAACACACACCAGACATGCCCAGTGTTTTTTAAGGTGCTTTCTTCCCCTCGCTCTGTCAAGAATGTCCTTTCAGTGTTCCTGTGTAACACTGCAGTACTGGTGGTGGCCAGGAAGAGACTCTTGTGCAGATGGGCATTCCAGGATTCATTTAACCACCACTTCTGGGAGTTTCACTTTTAGCCTCTTCCATAGGCAAGGCCTCTCTGTATAGCCAGATGGCTAAGTCTTTATGCTGATTGATGACTACTTCCAGGAGAGGGTGCTCAACAACTGAAATTGCGGCTGTCTCAGTGTGGGTTCTCCCAGGACCCCAAGAGGAGGATTCAAGGACAAGTAGTTTATTTGGGAAGGGGAAGGATGTACTGGTGTGGGAGTGGGGAAGTGAGAAGAGACAGGAAGGCTGCCAGGAAGCTGGCTCCCATGCAGGCAACTAGAGCTTCATCCTGCTAAGAAACTCTGGTAGCCAGACTGTCCTACCTGTGGAGCAAGGAAGTTGGATATTGGAGCCATCATTCTTGTCAGGTAGGTGAGGGCTGTTCCCACGTAGGAATGACTTTTGTGCACTTCCATTCTGCCTCCAGGGCAGGCAACACATGAAAACCAAACCCTTTGCCATTGAGTTGATCCTGACTCATAGTGACCCTACAGAACAGAATAGAATTTCCCCATAGAGTTTCTCCTGCAGAGTATATGGTGAGTTCAAAACATCAATCTTTCAATTAGCAGCCAAGAGCTTGACCATTGTGCCACCAGGCCTCCACATGCCGGCAAAAGGCAAACAAATACAAGTGCTACATGGAGATCAGACCATTGTGCACGAAGGTCTCTAGGTAGCACAGAGGATTTGCACTTGACTACTAACCAAAAGCTTGGCGTTTTGAACCCACCTGCAGAAGAAAGGCCAGGCAATCTGCTTCCATAAAGATAGAGCCAAGAAAACCCTATAGGACTCAATTCTACTCTGAAACATGGGGTTGTCATAAGTTGGGATGGACTCTATAGCAATGGGTTAGGTTTTTGTCACTGAAGAGGTAAGACTAAGGGATCTGGCCAGGTCACTGAGGGCATTGTTTGCCTGGGGCAAACACTCTGAAATATTCTTCAAAATGCTACCAGAGCTGGCTTCTCCACATCCTCTCCACTGATGGCACACTGGGTAAAGTATTTTGGTGCTGATAAAAACAATGGTGGTTTGAACCTACCAGCTGCTCTGAGGGAGAAAGATGAGACAGTTTCTATCAAGATGTACAGCCTTGGAAACCCTTGGGGGCAGTTCCACTCTGTCCTCTAGGGGTGCTGTGGGTCAGAATCGACACGGTATCAGTGGGTTTGGTTTTGGTTTGGATCTGAAAGTCTATCAGTTTGACCGGCAAAGGGTGAGAGCTTGTTTTGGATCTTTGCTTTTGTTCCTATTATTATTATGGCCACTTTTATTATTATAGCTTGAAACATTTCCCATGGTAATGAGTACTTTGTATTTCTTTCCTGGGACTTGTCTGTTCTTACCCTTTGCCTGTCTTTCTATTTTCTGTTGATTTGTTAAGAGTACTTGATTACATTAACCAGAATATCCTTTGGACACGTAAATATTTTCTCCTTTAATTTTGCTTACACTTCTTTTTTGTTTGTTTTGCTTCCTGTCACACAAAAAGACAGATGTGCGGGAACACAGTCTCCTCACACCATGTCCCTCTCCAGATTTTTGTGGATCTGCTGTGACTCTTGGGCCAAGGGCACCCTCCTTCAAGGCCCTTCTGGTCTCCCCAGGATTGCCTGACACCCCCGTCTCTCTCAGGAACCCCAAGCTAGGAGGGCCTCCCACCAGCTCCCACTCCTAGGCACCTTTGTTTCTGCAGCACTCACAGTGAGAGAAGCCACAAGAGAGAGAAGGCACTGGGAGCTATCCTGGCTTCCCACACCCCATGCAAAGCACAAAGCCAAGTCTCTGGAGGGCTTGGCACAGGGTGGAGTTTCTCGTCCCACCTCCTGTTACCCTTTGCTCTAAACTCGACTTTCCTCTTCTCCCTACCAGGTCTTCTCTGTTCCTCAGCCCTACACCCCTTCCATCCCAGCTCCCAAGAATACACTCAAGGCACTAGCTGATCCTCTCTTTCCTCTAGTTGCAAATTCCTGGGAGAAGAAATCTGATTCATCCAGCTCAATCAGGGGTCTAGTCCTTGTCCAATCAGGACTGTTGTTTCAGGAGGGATTACAGCATGAAAACATGTTGCTCAGAGAAGAAGGAAGGTTGTGAGCTGGGCAGACACTCCCAAATGTTTCTACTACACATGGGTGCTCGTAGGTCAGCTTCTGTCCACTACTTCTCTTTTTTTCTCCCTTTCTGCCTTGGCCTTTTCTTCCATTTAGGCTCACAGTTCCTGTAAGTTTAAAAACTTAAGACCTCGATAGGGTGATTGCCCATAAGGGCAGATATTTTTTGTATTGTTTGTCAAGTAGTATTGTAATGATCACGGGAAAAGCATTGGAGGTGTCTTTGTCTCAGAAAACAAACTGGGTGTTCTCGTCCTCTTTGATCTCATCGTGTGCTCCCTTCTCCAGATAATACCGGGAGCATGTCTCACTTACTACCATGGCTCATGCACTCACCATGTGTGTTGTTTAAAAGTGATCCCTGTTTTAGTGAGGAGAGTTCCGGCAAGATGGCGGACTAGGCAGAAGGACTGCACAGACCCTCTTCAACAAAGAAAAGGGAAACCAATTAACACAGACACAGAAGATAATCTTG